GTCTGAGAACCTCAGTAGGCCCTGTTCATGGTCCTGGACCCCGGAGTCTTTGTAGAACCTCCATTCCTCGGGCCTCATCTTACCTGGCGTCCAGACCTCATTATTAGCCTCCTCTGTACACAAGTCTATGTGAGCTGACTGATCAGGGTTAGAGTCCGATCCTCAGGGTGAGAGTCCCAGCCTCCGGGTTAGAATCCCAGCCTCAGGGTTAGAGTCCCATCCTCGGGGTTAGAGTCCCATCCTCGGGGTTAGAGTCCCATCCTCAGGGTTAGAGTATCACCCTCAGGGTTAGAGTCCCATCCTCAGGGTCAGAGTCCCACCCTCAGGGTTAGAGTCCCATCCTCTGGGTTAGAGTCCCATCCTCGGGGGTTAGAGTCCCATTCTCGGGGTTATAGTCCAATCCTCGGGGGTTAGAGTCCCCACCCTCAGGGTTAGAGTCCCAGCCTCAGGGTTAGAGTCCCAGCCTCGGGGTTAGAGTCCCACCCTCGGGGTTAGAGTCCCACCCTCGGGGTTAGAGTCCCAGCCTCGGGGTTAGAGTCCCATCCTCGGGGGTTAGAGTCCCATTCTCGGGGTTATAGTCCAATCCTCGGGGGTTAGAGTCCCCACCCTCAGGGTTAGAGTCCCAGCCTCAGGGTTAGAGTCCCACCCTCGGGGTTAGAGTCCCATCCTCGGGGTTAGAGTCCCATCCTCGGGGGTTAGAGTCCCATCCTCAGGGTTATAGTCCAATCCTCGGGGGTTAGAGTCCCCACCCTCAGGGTTAGAGTCCCAGCCTCAGGGTTAGAGTCCCACCCTCGGGGTTAGAGTCCCATCCTCGGGGTTAGAGTCCCATCCTCAGGGTTAGAGTATCACCCTCAGGGTTAGAGTCCCAGCTTGCTCACAGAGGGTTGCGGTGTGGACACAGGTGCCCCAGCAGTGCCTCGGTAGACCGTATTCCACAGCTTAACACACACACAGCCACGCGTCCTGCTCCAAACACTCCTCACAGACACCGACCGACCGGCTCCCTGTTCCTTTGGCTGGCGGGTTAATCCTTTCATTACCAGAACTAAGATGGCCGCCGGCAGGTATCAATACGATGGTCGCGCACGACACCCGGCCTCGGGACGCCCCTGTAGGGGGGGAATCAGCCAGGGACTATTTAGAGATAGATTATCAACATGCACAGTGCAATTATATGTTCCCGCCCACATTTAGCTTCCAATGTGACCAAGTGCTTTAGAGAAAGGAGGACACTCCTCCGAAACGCGTCAACTACCAAACCTGGAAGAGAGCAGAGGTGACTTCCTGTACAAGTGGAAATGAGACAGAGGCAGCGATTGGTTATCAGGTGCCGCTAGATCCCCCCGGGCCGCCTTCTGATCTCCGGGCTCTTAGGCAATAAAATGTTGGACCCCCTATGTATTGCTCATTTCCTGCCCCTGTATTACTCCGATTGCCCATGTATGGTCACAATTGCTCATTTGCTGCCCCTGTATTACTCCGATTGCCCGCGTATCGTCACAATTGCTCATTTGCTGCCCCTGTATTACTCCGATTGCCCGCGTATGGTCACAATTGCTCATTTGTTGCCCCTGTATTACTCCGATTGCCCGCGTATCGTCACAATTGCTCATTTGCTGCCCCTGTATTACTCCGATTGCCCACGTATGGTCACAATTGCTCATTTCCTGCCCCTGTATTACTCCGATTGCCCGCGTATCGTCACAATTGCTCATTTGCTGCCCCTGTATTACTCCGATTGCCCGCGTATGGTCACAATTGCTCATTTGTTGCCCCTGTATTACTCCGATTGCCCGCGTATCGTCACAATTGCTCATTTGTTGCCCCCCATGTATTGTCATTGCTGTCAATGACTTACCCACCACTGTTGCGCAATGTACTGTGATCACTTTGTACACCACATGGACCTTATTCGTCCTTCTCCTTCTGAGAATCTGGCTGGCGGGGTTACAATTGTTCCCTGGTATACAGGGCTGGATTTCCCACCAGGCCAACCAAGGCCCGGCCTCGGGGCAGCAGGCAAGTAGAGAGGCAGCAGGGGTGTGGAATTCCTATCTCCCGATGCCCCGGCGGGTAGTTGTTTTCTACATTTAGCCCGGCTTTGGGCAAGCAGAGCTAAATGCACAGCGGGGAAGCCGCCGCTTGTTTTGTAAAAGTGATCCCGGCGACGTCGCCGAGATCACTTGTATGCAGCCTGCCATTCTCCATGGGGGAGGGGTTGGCGGGTAGGGGGCTGCTTTGAGAAACCTGGCCTTGGGGCAGCAGAGATAGTAAATCCAGCCCTGCTGGTATACTTATATGTCTGAGTTCCCGTATCCATATTACTTGTGTATCATAAGGGGCTACCACCCTCCATGCCAGATGAGTAAATAAAAGAGGAACGGGGATACCACACAGGGTGGGGGACAGAAACTATAGCAGGAACGTCCCAACACTGGAGTCTCCAAGACCTAGAAGAAGCCAAAAGAAGACTCAACCCATCAATCTCCACCTATAAATTAAATATTATTTATACCGGAATGAACCCTGTATAAAAGACATGTATCCCATCCCCCAGTTGTTCTATGGACTAGACCAGGGGTAGGCAACCTCAGCTCTCCAGCTTTGCTTTGCTACAAATCCCATAAGGCATTGCAAGCCACAGGCATGGCTATCAGAGGCAGAAGCAGGATGGGATTTGTAGTTTCAGCACAGCTGGAGAGCCAAGGTTGCCTACCCCTGGACAAGACAGTGCCATCTGTTATCAGCCATTGTACAAAGAAATAAAGAGGAACGTCCTCTCTGATGTCTAATTATTCTTCTGTTATCTGTCAAACTTTTTCCACACTCTGAACGCAGTCAGGAGGCTCCGTGGTGTGTCTTTTCTGGTGTTCAACCAGGTTTCCTTTTTTAGCAAAAGACTTCCCGCACTCTGAACATAAATAAGGACGCACGCCCGTGTGAATTCTCTGGTGCACATTAAGATCTCCCTTCTGAGTGAAGCTTTTTCCGCACTCTGAACATGAATAAGGACGCTCACCAGTGTGGATTCTCGTGTACAAGAAGTTTTCCCTTTTCAGTGAAAGTTTTCTCGCACTCTGAACATGAATAGGGGCGCTCTCCGGTGTGACTCCTCTGGTGTACAAGGAGGGCGATTTTCTGCGTAAAACATTTCCCACACACAGTACAGGACGCTCACCCGTGTGACTTCTCTGATGTTTGAGAAGGTTTCCTTTCACAAAAAAAAATTTGCCACACTCTAAACAAGGGAAAGTACGTTCACCAGTGTGAGTTTTCTGGTGTTCAATAAGTTTACCTTTATGAATGAAACATTTCCCACACTCTGAGCAAGGGAAAGGACCTTCACCCGTGTGTATACTCTGATGTTCAATAAGTGCTCCTTTTCGAGTGAAACATTTTCCGCAGTCTGAACAAGAATAAGGACGTTCACCAGTGTGAGTTCTCTGATGTTTAAGAAGGTTTCCTTTGTCCGAAAAACTTTTTCCACACTCTGAACAGGAAAAGGGACGCTCACCCGTGTGAATTCTCTGGTGTATAAGAAGTGCAAATTTTTGTGTAAAACTTTTTTCACACTCTGAACATGAATAGGGACGCTCACCAGTGTGACTTCGTTGATGTATAAGAAGTTTGATTTTCTGGGTAAAACTTTTCCCGCAGTCTGGACAGGAAAATGGACGCTCGCCCTTGTGAATTCTCTGGTGTACAATAAGATCTCCTTTCTGAGTGAAACATTTCCCACACTCTGAACATAAAAAAGGACGCTCACCTGTGTGGAATCTGTGGTGTACGAGAAGTTTTCCTTCGTCTGTGAAACATTTGTCACACTGTACACATAAAAAAGGACGCTCACCAATGTGACTTCTCTGATGATTAAGAAGGCTTGTGTTTTCAGTGAAGGATTTCCCGCACACTGAACATGAGAATAGATCCTCACCTCTGTGATCTCCTTCATGGGCTGAGGGAGATTCCTTGGGATTAGATGGATCTCTTGCAGTGTGAGATCTTAGATGGATATTTCCAGTCATAGTATGTGAATGATCAGAAGATTCACCCTGATCAGAGGGATCCATTGAGGTCTCCGAGCAGTGAGGTCTGTGATGTATATTTTGTGTGTTTGGATTCACTCCTGGAGAATCCTGTGTGATGACATTATCTTCTGACTTACAATCGGCAGATAATATAAGATGTCTCTCCGAGGTATTCCTGACATCACATCCATCTGCTGGAGAGAAATCATTACACACGTCAGTAATCAGAGTCATGTATGTTGGTCTAGAAGTCATCACAGAGCTCTGGCATGGAATTGGGTCCAATTGTAACCCCAAAATATGAAAACCAACCAGATAAAGGAGACAAAACCCCCAAAACACCTCTGACCCCCCGGAGACCATTGTACTGTTCATTCATGACCGCTATGGGGGGTGGATGAAGATGGACCTTCATATGGTGTACAGTATCTCCTCCTCATTTGTTGGTCACATGACGTTATATTGAGGAATGGAGATGGTGCTGATTGAAGACCAGGTGACCACTTTGAGGACCTTCACAAATGACAAAAATGTCCACATTCCAGAATGAAACATTAGACAGAAAAACCCTGATGGATTATACCGCATCTATAGAATGAAGATAGGCTTCTGTAGGGTGTGAAGAAGATGGACAGAAGGAGTGGTAGTCCTTTCCTACTTAAGAGGAGCAGAATAGGTGATGAGGGATGATTGGTGGCGCTCATCTGTAGCAGCAGGCGTGCGTTAGAGAGGACACCACGATTCAGCACAGCTCCATTCACAACACAAGCACTAGTAAAGATCGTTCACCTGTGGTAGGGTTGTGTGATCCATCTGCTGGTTCCGTGTGTGTATATAAGCAGCGGGCAGACGGATCACACAGCACCCCAGCCTTGAGTGACCTTCTAAGGCTTGTGTTGTGAAGGAACAAAATAATTCTTCCCAGCTTTGATGGTCCACCATTTATAATTCAGTCTCATCTTATCTGATGATGAGAAGATCTGATAATTCTCCAACATGATCCCTTAAACGTCGCACCTTCTACTCAGAAGTGACATAGAACTGTGACCTGTTCCCTCCATAGTGTCTGTTACTTACTTGTGTTGATCGGTAGAGAAATGTCATCCTGATCACTTTTCATCATCACCCCGACCTCCTCCGTGGACGGCCGGTCACCCCCCACATACGTCTCCACTTCTTCCTCTTTAACCTCAGCTTTTATATTGTTCCGTTCTTCACCCTAAACCCCAAAATAATAGAAAACATCTCATAAAGCTGAACTCCGGGGAGATATAAAAGACAGAAAGGAAGGCAGCTCTGCTATTAACACAGGGAGAAGCAGCACAAAGAGCCAATCAGCTGGGCTGCAGTGCTACCAAGGGATATGATGATAGAAGGAGAGAGCAGAATCATCTCGGTGTTCAGTCCCACCTACCTGATCATGGTGGGGGACGGTGAGATCTTCCTGTGTGGAATCCCGGGAATACAGACGGGGACATCTCTCTGGTGGGTTTGTGTCACTGAATGATTCTATCATGACGACATTGAAGAGGTCTTTGTGTTCTTCTGAGAACTCCTCCATCACGCCAAGCTCCTCCTCCTCCTCCTCTTTTATCTCTTCTTTAACATCATTATCACACTCACTCTGTATATCGAGAACAATGAGATCAGATGTAACTACATAGATAATGAGGAGGTCATAATGTAAGTATTACCCTCAGTCACACCTACCTGATCATGGTGGGGGATGGTGAGATCTTCCTGGGTGGGATCCCGGGAATACAGAGGACGGGGACATCTCTCTGGTGGGTTCCTCTTACTGGATCCATCTGTAGGAAACACACACACTGACTGAATACTGTGTTTCTATCTGTGTATCAGATGATGGGTGATGTAGGCGGAGTCTCCGTACTGCTCTCTCCTCTTACCCGGTGATGTGAGGGGCGGGGCATTCTCCATCACCACGTCCTTGTAGAGATCCCGGTGTCCTTCTAGATACTCCCACTCCTCCATGGAGAGATAGACAGAGACATCCCGACACCTTATAGGAACCTGACACACACAATGATACCGTCACCACCCAGACACACCCCTTGTCTGTTCCTGGATCATGTCCCAGAATTCCCGGCACCGCTCACCTCTCCCGTCAGCAGCTCAATGATCTTCTTGGTAACTTCTAGGATCTTCTTGTCATTGTTCCTCTCGGGTTTCTTGGAGTGAGGTGAAGGCACTGTGATGGTTATATAGTCACCAGACTTCACCGGAGGAAAACTCTGTTTTGAAAGAGCAAAAGTAATGTCATGTGACCTCCCAGAATCCTCCTCACCCCTCCGGTCGGGTCTGTGTGTTATGAATAGAGATCAGAGTGATGTCATGTGACCTCCCAGAATCCTCCTCACCTCTCCGGTCAGCAGGTAGATGATCTCCAGGGTGAGGTCCAATATCCTCTCAGTCATGTGACCTCGGGTCCTCCTCCATCCTTGTTGATGTGATCCATAGAAGACTCTGTGGACAGATAATATAATCGGCCTCGCTGATCATTAGAACTCTTTTATTGGAAACCCTCTGACCAATCGCGAGGCCGGTTCAGAAATGAGTCGCGTTAATGGGGAGCATTTCACAATATTTAAACATATTTTCTATATTTAAATATATATTTTTCTTAATTGTTATTATTCTTATGTCAGGTTCTATTTATGGAGACATCGTACGTCCATAGAGTCGGCTCTATTCTCGGGTTATATCCGGGGACATATTTGAAAACATACGTTTGTGCGTGTGTATCACGCACAGATAAAAGACATCACAATGACTGTGCATGAAGGGGGACGGACATGACGGGGGTTTGACTATAACTATAAAATAATATCTTCTTACCTCCTCTGCTGCCAGTTCCAGCAATGTCTCCTCTCTACTTCCTCCCAACTCACTTGGAACTTCCTGTTTATATGTGACATCACTTCCTGTCAGTACATCACTTCCTTCCTGTCCGTGACATCACTTCCGGTGTGTGTACCGTCACGTTCTTCTTGTCTCTGCGTTCCCCCATGAATTGCCTGTATGTTCTACATGATATACTTGAGAAAGGTCTCCGCCTTGTAAGCAGCGTCATTACAGGGGGAATCCTGCGTCTTTTCAGGATGTGGATTTGATGAGAATCTCACTTTTTAACGTTTTTAAAAAATAAGAAACACCAGCCTGAACTTTACCCCGGCAGTGGGGCTACCCCGGCACTGCGAGGGTTATCTGCTCTTTTTTGTCTAGGAGATTGAATAAAGAAGAGATACTCACCTGAGCCTCAGTCCCACCGATCTGGTAGACCGGTCCTTGTGGGATAATTTTTTTCTTTTTGGGTGGCCAGTCCCCAAATCCACGCGTAATTCTCTGATAACCGGACGCATGTGTTTTTTCACAGGGCATATTTATTAATTGTAACGGACGCATGTGTTTTTTCACAAGGCATATTTATTAATTGTAACGGACGCATGTGTTTTTTCACAAGGCATATTTATTAATTGTAACGGACGCATGTGTTTTTTCACAGGGCATATTTATTAATTGTAACGGACGCATGTGTTTTTTCACAGGGCATATTTATTGTAACGGACGCATGTGTTTTTTCACAGGGCATATTTATGAATTGTAACTGTGTATTTTACATGATAGAGACAGAATATCAACCAAAAATCCAGAGAAATCACATGATACAAATGTTATAAATTGAGTTGCAGTTCGGGGAGTAAAATAAGTATTTGATCCCGAAGCAGAACATGAACCCTTGTTGGGTAGAACAGAGGTGAGAAGTTTCCTGGGGGAACCCTTGTTGGGGAGCACAGAGGTGAGACGTTTCCTGGGGGAACCCTTGTTGGGGAGCACAGAGGGGAGACGTTTCCTGGGGGAACCCTTGTTGGGGAGCACAGAGGTGAGACGTTTCCTGGGGGAACGCTCGTTGGGGTAGAGGTGAGACGTTTTCCTGGGGGAACCCTTGTTGGGGAGCATAGAGGGGAGACGTTTCCTGGGGGAACCCTTGTTGGGGAGCACAGAGGGGAGACGTTTCTTGGGGTTGGTTGCCAGTTTTGCACACATCTCAGGAGGGATTTCGGTCCCTTTACAGATCTTTTCTAAATCCTTCAGGTTTCTTGGCAACTCGAAGTTTCAGCTCCTCCCATAAATGTTCTATAGGATGAAGGTCTGGAGACTGGTTAGGCCCCTCCATGACCTCAATGTGCTTCTTCTTGAGCCACTGCTTTGTTGCCCTGGCGGTATGTTTTGGGTCGTTGTCATGCTGAAAGACCCGTCCACGACCCATCTTCAGTGTTCTGGCTGAGGGAAGGAAGTTCTCATCCAAGATTTTACAATACGTGGCCCCGTTAATCGGCCCCCCAATGCGGCAAAGTCGGAGAGAAACAGCCCCAAAGCATAATGTTTCCCCCTCCGGGTTGCACTGTAGGGACGGTGTTCTTAGGGTCATAGTCAGCATTTTTCTTCCTCCAAACGCGTTGAGTTAATGCCAAAGAGCTCAATTTCAGTGTCATGTGACCACATCACTGTCTCCCAATCCTCCTCTGAATCATTTAGATCAGGGGTCTCAAACCTTCGGCCCTCCAGCTGTGGTGAAACTACAAATCCCATGCTGCATCTCTCTTCGGGAGTCATGTCTGTGGCTGTGAGAATCTTGCAATGTCTCATGGGATTTGTAGTTCCACCACAGCTGGAGGGCCGGAGGTTTGAGACCCCTAATTTAGATGTTCGTTGGCAAACTTCAGACGGGCCTGTACAGGGGCCTTCCTGAGGAGGGGGACGGGCCTGTACATGGGCCTTCCTGAAGGGGGGGACGGGCCTGTATATGGGCCTTCCTGAGGAGGGGGACCTGGCGGGCGCTGCAGGATCTCAGTCCATGGTGGTGTATTGAGTTACCAATGGTTTGTTTGGTGACTGTGGTCCCGACTGCCTTGAGATCATTCACAAGCTCCTCCTCCCGTGTAGTTCTGGACTGATCCCTCACTTTCATCATGACCATCCTCACCCCATGAGGCCAAATCTTGCATGGAGCTCCAGACCGAGGGCCATCGATGGTTGTTTTGTATTCCTTCCATTTGGGAATAATCGCTCCAACAGTTGTTTCCTTCTCACCGAGCTTCTCGCTGATCGTCTTGTAGCCCATTCCGGTCTTGTGCAGATCTACGGTCCCTGACGTCCTCTGACAGCTCTTTGGTCTTGCCCGTGGTGGGGGAGGTGTGAATGGAAGAACAGGACAGGACAGGCGTCTTTTATATACATAACGAGTTGTCGTTAGGAGCACCTTCTTAAAGTGACAGGACTCATCTGTGTACCACATGGCCAGTCTGTGGGAGGAGCCAGAATTATTGTTGGTTGGTAGGGGATCAAATACTCGTTTTACTCCCTGAACTGGGGAGAATCATTATTTTCCTCACTGTATATTTTAACAAATAACCGGCTGCATGTGTTTTTTCACAGGGCATATTTTTTTAATTGTACATGTACCCCCCCCCCGTCACCTTCTGTGACGTGGCTACTAGACATTTAGTGATAGCCGGGGCTGTAGTCAGCCTGGCTGGATTTATAGTGACAATTATCTGGTTAATTCCAAGTGTCTAGCCTTGCCTGTACACCCCCTGGGCGGAGTGTGACTCTGTCATATTGTAGGACAGCCAATGAGAGACACTGTAATGTATGTACAGTACAGCAGCCAACCACTGGGCTTCTCTCAGCCAGTGGTGCATGCTGGGATAGGGTACATATGCTGGTGGGAGCTGCCATGTGCTCAGACTAGCCAGGACCAGCCATGGAATAGAGCTGGGTGCTGTTCAGCCTGCCCCCCAGGCTAGGCCTAAGGCCTGGGGGTGGGCTGGTGTGAGGGAAAGGTTTCCCTGAGGTCTCCAACATGGAGGAGGCCTGTGAAGCTGATAGAGGAAGAGAACCGGGACCAATGCTGGCTCTTGAAGTACCCTGGAACTATGAGGACTTCAGGAGTATGGTCTGTGTCTTTCCTGTTGAGGATCTGCATCCATCCTGCTTAGCTGCTACATCAGTTGCTGTCCGCTGCCTCCCAAGTGGATCTAAACTGATATGCCAACCAGGTCTGGTGAGTCTGGAGCTCTTGTTGGTCACCCCTGGACACCTAGAACCCCTCTACCCTCTCTCCTCAGTGAAGATGTTCAATAAATCGTTACTTGCCATTTTATTACTGGAGTGGACGTCAGTTTGTGAGCACCAGAAGAAGGGCTAATGATGCTAATGGGTGGGCAGCTGAAGAACATACCCCGGCCTAGACAGACTAGAGATGAACAAGGCATCCAGCGCCTCCTTCAGGGGTGAGCGCTACACATGCAACAGGATGGAAGTGTGAGCAACATGGCAGAGGGCAAATACACGAAACCATGACATAGGATGCGGTTATTAAAATCACCACAAGGTGGCAATCTCACTTAATGAGCTCATACAGGAAATTATGTGAGATGACGACAGGAAGTTTTATAAGGTGCAGACAGGAAGTACCCGATGAAGGAAGTCCAAAGGAGACATTACTAGAATATACAAAGGAGGTAATAAGATACATCCTAAATATAGAGCCATTTATCCAACCGTCCATCCAGAGCCGCCATTTATAGACCCGATACATCCTAAATATAGAGCCATTTATCCAACCGTCCATCCAGAGCCGCCATTTATAGACCCGATACATCCTAAATATAGAGCCATTTATCCAACCGTCCATCCAGAGCCGCCATTTATAGACCCGATACATCCTAAATATAGAGCCATTTATCCAACCGTCCATCCAGAGCCGCCATTTATAGACCCGATACATCCTAAATATAGAGCCATTTATCCAACCGTCCATCCAGAGCCGCCATTTATAGACCCGATACATCCTAAATATAGAGCCATTTATCCAACCGTCCATCCAGAGCCGCCATTTATAGACCCGATACATCCTAAATATAGAGCCATTTATCCAACCGTCCATCCAGAGCCGCCATTTATAGACCCGATACATCCTAAATATAGAGCCATTTATCCAACCGTCCATCCAGAGCCGCCATTTATAGACCCGATACATCCTAAATATAGAGCCATTTATCCAACCGTCCATCCAGAGCCGCCATTTATAGACCCGATACATCCTAAATATAGAGCCATTTATCCAACCGTCCATCCAGAGCCGCCATTTATAGACCCGATACATCCTAAATATAGAGCCATTTATCCAACCGTCCATCCAGAGCCGCCATTTATAGACCCGATACATCCTAAATATAGAGCCATTTATCCAACCGTCCATCCAGAGCCGCCATTTATAGACCCGATACATCCTAAATATAGAGCCATTTATCCAACCGTCCATCCAGAGCCGCCATTTATAGACCCGATACATCCTAAATATAGAGCCATTTATCCAACCGTCCATCCAGAGCCGCCATTTATAGACCCGATACATCCTAAATATAGAGCCATTTATCCAACCGTCCATCCAGAGCCGCCATTTATAGACCCGATACATCCTAAATATAGAGCCATTTATCCAACCGTCCATCCAGAGCCGCCATTTATAGACCCGATACATCCTAAATATAGAGCCATTTATCCAACCGTCCATCCAGAGCCGCCATTTATAGACCCGATACATCCTAAATATAGAGCCATTTATCCAACCGTCCATCCAGAGCCGCCATTTATAGACCCGATACATCCTAAATATAGAGCCATTTATCCAACCGTCCATCCAGAGCCGCCATTTATAGACCCGATACATCCTAAATATAGAGCCATTTATCCAACCGTCCATCCAGAGCCGCCATTTATAGACCCGATACATCCTAAATATAGAGCCATTTATCCAACCGTCCATCCAGAGCCGCCATTTATAGACCCGATACATCCTAAATATAGAGCCATTTATCCAACCGTCCATCCAGAGCCGCCATTTATAGACCCGATACATCCTAAATATAGAGCCATTTATCCAACCGTCCATCCAGAGCCGCCATTTATAGACCCGATACATCCTAAATATAGAGCCATTTATCCAACCGTCCATCCAGAGCCGCCATTTATAGACCCGATACATCCTAAATATAGAGCCATTTATCCAACCGTCCATCCAGAGCCGCCATTTATAGACCCGATACATCCTAAATATAGAGCCATTTATCCAACCGTCCATCCAGAGCCGCCATTTATAGACCAGATGCATCCTAAATATAGAGCCAGTTATCCAACTGTCCATCCAGAGCCGCCATTTATAGACCGGATACATACCAGATACCAGGTGACCATATGAAAGGTTTATCTCCATTCCTCAATATAACGTCATGTGTCCAACAAATGAGGAGGAGATACTGTACACCATATGAAGGTTTATCTCCATTCCTCAATATAACGTCATGTGTCCAACAAATGAGGAGGAGATACTGTACACCATATGAAGGTCCATCTCCGTTCCTCTATGTAAGTCCTTTAGGAGCAACCAAACAACACAGGTTCCTAATGTAATGAGCAGTGAGAACCTCTTGCAATATCAACTGGCAGCAGCTTATACCGAGCTCACCAGGACACTCTTCAGGATAGAAGCTTCCTCCTAAGATTCTTCAGCAGGACAACAAACAGGCCCAAAGACACAGGCTAAGTTCTTCTTCATAAGGCCCAGGCCCGTCTTTCACCATCACCCAGGTAGCAGGCCTTGAAGGCCATGCCTAGACGCTTCCTAAACTGCAATCCTCCTCCAGGCCAAGACTGGGAGGGAAGACCTCCTCTCCTGGCAGGAGCCGAGAACACAAAGACCCTCTGGAAGGTCACCTCAGATATTTATCTCCGTCTAGCACTGGCAATACACTTCCTAGTGATTGAGCCGAGTGAAGATAATCAGTAATGTTTTGTACCTTGATGTGGTTGGTATTTGTAGTTTACTGT